ACACTCTTTTTGAGGGTATTTCTAAGTATCTTTATGAATTCAAAATCTGCTAACACTCCAGCTTAGAAGTGCCACTTTTAGGAATTTAGGCAAACATGTACCAGAGTGTGGAAAGGTATATGGTGGAAACACCCGCAGAAGTGTCATTTGTAATAATTAACAACTGGAGAGACATTCAGGGCCATCCACCTGGCATTGCAGCCATCAAGTGCAGCGTGTCCACACTTTGGAACACTGTGCACCTAGTTGAAGAAAATCATAAGATATTTTTCTTTATTAAATAGGCAAAGAAAGAATAATGTGTGCCCCTGACATTGTGATTGTATAGCTGTTAAGAAGTAAAGACTCGGGGCCTCTTGTGGACAACGTGATGACCGTCGCCTCACCAGCGTCCCTTGCCTGCAGTTGCATTTCTAGGAGTCTGTTCTCAGATTGGCTCCATCCTGTTTGAAACCACATCTGGCTACATCTGGACCTGTGTGTCCGTGTGTTTCTCTCGCCCTCTGGTCTGCATGTGTCGCCACGCTGTCCCAGGCTTCCTCTGCCATTTGGGCCTTCCTATTCCCACTGGCCCTCTGCCCACCCAGCCCAGCACAGGGAATTCCGGAGGTTGTGTCTCTGTTCTCTGTTCTGCATCCCAGCGGCAAGCCTGGGGCTGGAGTAGAGGGTGTCCCTGAGTGTCTGTGAGCATGCAAAGGAGGCCAGGATGCCCAAGCTGTCCATGAGTGGAACTCCCTGAGCATTGGGATAGCTGCACCCCAAGTCTCCCGCCATGTCTCACCTCCCAGCACAGCTGGGGCCTGCCACCTGCTAGGAGTCAGTGCAAGTGCTAGAGCAATGAACATGGTGGACGTGGCCATGCTGGGGGTGCAGAAGGGGTGAACTGGGGGAGGCGTGAGTGAGTGAGTGAGGTGCTTGGGGCTCTTGGGGTTTTAGAGACCCCCCATGTGTGTTTTCTGGCAGGGCTCCCCACTGCACCTTCCTTTCCTGGTTGCTTTTCCTGGTGGGTGTCTAGGCTGTGGCACATGTTCCTCCTAGGAACTTTTAGCACAGCCTTGGGGCTGTGTTGAATTGGCGGGGCTGTGTTGAATTGGCGGGGCTGTGTTGAATTGGCGGGGCTGTTCGGCCCCAGGAGCAAAAGTCAGACAAAAAATACACCTGAGTGGGCAGGTATGGCTAGAGCAGAGGCTGAGGCTTGGGTGGACACCTGCTGCCGTAGGGCTGCTTGGTGTGGTCACACCGCAGACTCTGCGCTGCCTGTGCTGAGCCAGGTGTCTGGTGCACAGCTGCATTGCCGTGGTGTCTCGTTCTCACTGCTGGGCAGAACTCTTGAAGCGGGTGCTGACCAGGGCAGGGTCTTGGTTCCAGGTACACAAAGCCAGGCTTGCCCCACTGATCTGACAACAGGGACTGGAGGAGTTGTGGGAGGTGGAGGAGGAGGCTGTGAAGCTCTGGAAGGCACCTGGCAGGGAGGAGAAGGGGGCAGGCCAGGCAGCATGGTGAGGGGCTGGGGACCCCGGGTCGGGGGTTGACGGGCTCTGAAAGGTAAGAGCCCCGTGGCTGCATGCCTGTGACATTTGGGCCAGTGTCCCAGCCTTGTGTCTGTGGCCGTGTAGAAGGTGGTGTGGGGTGGAGAAGGGAGATGCCCACCCCCAAGGCAATGTCCTGGCAGAGAAAAAGAATTGTAAGATCTCTCCCCACTTTAGAGACAAAAGGGCACCGTGAGAACATCCACCTCCCCTGGGGTTTGTTCCCTGCTGTTGTGCCGTTGGAGCAGAGGTGACCCGGGCAGGATCTGGGGCAGCTGCCTTTGCCTGCATCAAACGGATGTGGCCTTGGGCTGGAGAGCCTAAACGTGCATACACTGACACATAGGAAGCCCCGTCGGGAGGCGCCGGCTGACACACTGCACTCTGCCCAGGCGCTGCCGACCTGTATCTGTGAAGATGGGGTGGTCTCTCCATGTGGCCTCCGCTGGGGGATGTGACTCTGCAGGGACACCTTGTTGCTCGAGCACCTCCTGACAGTGGCTTTGGCGTCCCTGGTGGCCCCACCTGAAGCACCTGTCTCATGGGAGTGTTTTCCTTGATGAAGACCTCACAGCAGCGTCCAGAATGCTCAGGACCTGGTCCTGGGAGGGCGCTCCTGGGTTAAATGAGACGAGAACGTCAGGGTCACCGGGGCAGTGCACAGACCACTCTGATTCCAGTTTGGGGGGCTTTTTGGGAAATGTGGATACGACTGTTGCATGACACTCTGCTTCTTTTGATAACTATATGTATATATAGAAGTTGGCCGTCCTCAGCTGCACTGGTGGCGGGCAGGCGGGAGAAGGCTTTCGCTCCCAGGAGGCACCTGCAGAGGCACCCGGGGGAAGCGCCGCCATGTGGTACAACACTGAATTTCAAATGGTTCCACAAAAACCAGAATAAATGTTTTTTAAAAAAAACCTTTTATCATGGAATTAATGACATCTGGTTAATCTGGGTGGTGGGATCCCCGCTGTCATTCATTCTACGATAAAAGTTTCTTTAATCCCCCAGCTATGTCTCTGGAAAATACGCTGAGAGGAAGGATCCCATCCACTTATTTAGACAAACTGCTGAGGCGTGTCCCCAGGCCAGAGAGCCCTGCCTCGCTTGGCACCTGCGCGACCTGGGCTTCCGCCCGCAGCCTGCACACTGGCGCTCCCGTGTGTGTGCGGCTCAGGTGAGCGCACGGCCCTCGTTCAGGGCCTCCCCGTGGTGCGGCACTGGCTCCATTCATCTCCATTCCCTCGTGGATGGATATTTAGGTGGTTTCTAATTTTTCATGGTAACAAACAGTGCCACTTTCGTACATGCGCCGGAGACTTTTCAGCACTGCAGATGGCAGGGTCCAGGAGGGCCTCCCACGTGGTAAGATACGGCCCCGCCTCTTCCCAAAGCAGTGGTGCCAATCCCCCAATTCCACAGCCTTTTCTTCCGGAACAGGTGGGGTGAGGTGCCTGGGGTTCCTGCCTTCCAGGGGTGCCGATGTCTCAGGTTCCAGGGCCGTTTGGGCCACTGCGTGCGAGTAGCCTGTCCATGCCTATTTCTTCCTGGGAGTTTATGCCTTTGTCTCACTGAAATCTTCTCGGTCCAGTGTCTTCTCTCACACCGTGGCTTCCTTTTTCACTGGTTTTCTGCTATGGTCTTGTGGCAGAGAGAGGTTACTGTCTGTTTATGGAGTCAAGAACATCGGCGTTTTCTTGAACTCTTGCTCTCCGTGTCTCATTGGAGAAGTCTGTCATGCATTCAACTGTCTGCTGGTGATGGTCCCTGCAGCCCAACATCCCCGGGCAGGCCCCGTCAGAGGGGAGAGGGACCAGAGCAGGAACGTCCAGGAGCCCCGCCGCATGGCCCCACCAGGAACCGAGCCTGGAACCGGGAGGAGAGGAGGGCAGACCAGGGACTCTGTTCCACCCTCACCCGGGCCCTGGGATTGGTCACTCACGAATAGCAGAGGTTTCTTGGACTCCCTGTCTGCGAGGGACCCACCCCAACAGCCCCCCCGGGGAGGGTGCCTGTTGTAGAGCGGGGCTCCCTCCAGCCACTATGACTACTGGTCATGTCTCTGGGTGCTGTCCCCACGGAGGTGATACAAAGTGCACGACGCAGGCCAACTTAGGGCTGCCTGACATCAGTGCGGACAGCCATCGCCAGCTCAGACTGTGCACTGGGCTTGAATGCGTGGGGAGGGGGCAGTGATGCTGGCCACACGGATGGTGAATCAGTCAAAGCAGAGAGGTGGGGACATGGTGCTGTGCACAGAGCAAGATGGGGGAGCTGAGGTCCCCAGAGACAGACACCAGGCACCCCAACAGACACCAGAGCGGGAGCTCATGGGGTCACCAGGTGAGGGACCTACGGCGGGATGGGCAAGCCCAGCAGAGCAGGGGCCCTCCCTATACCTCTGGGCAGGGTGAGAGGAGGAGAGGCCTGAGCTGGAGCCATGTGGATCCCTGATCCAGGTTGGGGGAGCAGAGCCACAGGGCCTTGAAGAACCTGGCCAGGTCTGCCCTGGGAGAGATTAGGGACAAGCCTTGAAAATCACAAGTCACGCACCTAAACGACATGCAGGATGTGCATTTCAGGGGCACTGGGCGGCGGGCCTTGGGGAATGTCCCAGTCAGCAGCAAGCATTCCACCCCCATCCCATCCCTCCACCCACCCCATGATGCTTTTGTCCCCATCGAGCCCCTTGTCTCCTGTGCAGGTGCAGCACCCTTCACTCTCCCCTTGCGTTGCTGCTAAACAGGCAGAACCCTCCAGTGGGCAGCACACAGGGATGGTGACCAGGTCTGGAGGCTACGGTGCCTGGACCCCAGACCAGCTTCCTGGCAGGTGACCCTGCAGGGTGAGCTCTCTCAGATGGCGCAGTGGCTGGGATGGTCCTGGGACCTGGAGAGCCCCACAGCCCAGGGCATGGCAGTGAATGACCAGGCTCAGGAAGACCTGGGCATGGGGGCTGAGCAAGGACTGAGCCTTCCTGGGCATGGCCGTGAGTCCCACCTGGTGACCTCCCTGGAGGAGTTAGGCCACTGTCCCCTGTGACTTCTAGGTTAAGTCACTCACTCCTAGAAACGGTCGTGGCTGGAGGAGACCAATGTCAGCTCAAAACCGTGTGTCCCCCCAGGAGCACAGCAGGAAAAGAGAATCAGGTGACCAAGGAGAGTTTATTGGGGAGCAGGAGGAGGTGCTGACAGGTTCAAGTCGAGGCCAAGTGACCCAGGGCAGAGAAGCTGGGAGGCAGGACAGGGGACCCAGCAGGCAGTTGGGCACCTGCTGGGAGGCAAGAGCTGGGGAACAGCGACGATGGAGGCTCCTGGGAGTAAGGAGGGGGAGGTCACCTCAGCACAGGGGAGACACGGGGACCCCATCTCAGGTAGGGGCAGCCACCTAACCCAGGTCGGGATCTGAGCTGGCTGGCCCTAGTGGATGTGCCCATCAGCAGCTAGACTCCTGGCCTGAGAAGAGGGCTCAGCAGGCTGGGCAGGAGCATGCAGGGTGGCAGAGGAGGGACACGCAGGAGGCTGGGTGGCAGCAGCTGGGCTGGCAGGAGGAGGCAGGGGCACAGCAGGAGGAGACAGGCATGCAGCAGGTGGACCTGCACACGGGGCGGCAGGGAAGGGACACGCAGGAGGAGGGTCTGCAGCAGGAGATGGTGCAGCAAGCCGGCTGGCATCTAGTCTTCTGGCAACATGAAGAGGAAGACTCTGAGCAGACGGGCACGCAGTAGATGGGCTTGCAGCAGATGGGCACACAGCAGGCCTGTTGGCATGGGGAGGAGGTGCAGCAAGCTGACCGGCAGCTAGATGGCTGGGAGCATGGGGAGGAAGCTCCAGAGCACATGGACACACAGCACACGGGCTTGCAGCAGATGGACACACGGCACACGGGCTTGCAGCAGATGGACTTGCAGCAGACAGGCACACAGCAGGACTGCTGGCAGGGGGAGGAGGTGCAGCAAGCCGGCTGGCAGCTAGACTGCTGGCAGCATGAGGGTGTGCAGGAGCTGGTGCAGCCTGATTGGCAGGGGCTGGCCTCACAGCTCACTGGGGCACAGACCAGGGCCAGACAGGGGGGTGGGGCACAGCAGCTAGGGGTACAGCAGCTGGGGACACAGCAGGGGGGCTCACAGCAGCTCTCCTGGCAATTGTCCACCTGCCAGGAGGAGCCGGTACAGGTGCTGGGGGAGGAGACTCGGCTGACACAGCCCACGTCACTGGAGCAGACAGACATGGTGGATGCAGCAATCACATATGTCCTGGTGCAGCAGGTGTCAGCCATGGTGGGTGCTGGGATGGGTGGTGTGAGTGCTGGCGTGAGGTGTGTGTGTTTGCATGCCCTGGCTGCTAAGGTTTTATACCCTCCCTGGGTATTTTCCTCACAGGAGTCTCACAAGCATTCCTTTTCCTTGTTGTGGCTGAGACTTTGCCTCCAGGCAACCCTAATTAGTTTACTTGCTGTGGGATGTTACTGTGGTCCCAGGACTGCTGCATGTGGTTGGGTGATGCTGGCCACTTGCAGGTGTCTGTGCCCAGCAAATACACACGATGATGCTGAATGTCTGCTGGTGGAGCTGGGAGTCGAACAGTTCATGAGTTGGTGAGTCTGGAAAATCTGGCCCCACTTTCCTCCTCTCTTTGCCTGTGTGTCTTTGCTATTGGGGTATTTGGTGCCGGGGTGGGGTGTGTTTTACCAGCAGATGCTCTCCACCTGTCCCAGAGTCCTGCTCCACTGAACAATGGGTGTCTTGGCTGGGAATGCCCCCCTGGCTCCACACCCTGCCATCCCCACCTGCTCCATTTGCAAACTCTGGTGGGATGCCCCTGTATTAGTCCATTTTCACATTGCTGATAAAGACACACCCAAGACTGAAAAGGAAAAAGGGTTTTAATTGGACTTACAGTTCCACATGGCTGGGGAGGCCTCAGAATCTTGGTGGAAGGTGAGAGGCACTTCTTACATGGTGGCAGCAAGAAAAAATAAGGAAGAAGCAAAAGCAGAAACCCCTGATAAACCCATCAGATCTCATGAGACTTATTCACTATCACTAGAATAGCAAAGGAAAGACTGGCCTCCATGATTCAATTACCTCCCCCGGGTTCCTCCCACAACATGTGGGAATTCTGGGAGATGCAATTGAAGTTGAGATTTGGGTAAGGACACAGCCAAACCATATCATTCTGTCCCTGGCCCCTCCAAATCTTATGTCTTCACATTTCAAAACCAATCGTGCCTTCCCAATAGTCCCCCAAAGTCTTAACTCATTTCAGCATTAACCCAAAAGTCCACAGTCCAAAGTTTCATCTGAGACAAGGCAAGTTCCTTCCACCTGTGAGCCTGCAAAATAAAAAACAAGCTAGTTTCTTCCTAGATAAAATAGGGATACAGGTATTTGGTAAATACAGCCATTCCAAATGGCAGAAATTGTCCAAAACAAAGGGGTTACAGGAACATGCAAGTCCAAAACCCAGCAGGGGAGTCAAATTTTAAAGCTCCAAAATGGTCTCGTTTGACTCCAGGTCTCATCCAGGTCATACTTATGGAAAAGGTGGGTTCCCATGGTCTCAGATAGCTCCACCCCTGTGGCTTTGCACCCCTGTGGCCTCCTTCCTGGCTGCTTTCACAGGCCGGCATTGAGTGTCAGCAGCTTTTCCAGGCACACGGTGCAAGGTGTCAGTAGATCTATCATTCTGGGGTCTGGAGGATGGTGGCCCTCTTATCACAGCTCCACTAGGCAGTGCCCCAGTAGGGCCTCTGTGTGGGGGCCCTGGCCCCACATTTCCCTTCCACACTGCCCTAGCAGAAGTTCTCCATGAGGGCTCCGCCCATGCAGCAAACTTCTGCCTCGGCATCCATGTGTTTTCATACATCTTCTGAAATCTAACCTCAATTCTTGACTTCTGTGCACTTGCAGGCTCAACACAACATGGAAGCTGCCAAGGCTTGGGGCTTCCACCCTCTGAAGTCACAGCCTGAGCTGTACATTGGCCCCTTTCAGCCATGGTCGGAGTGACTGGGATGCAGGGCACCAAGTCCCCAGGCTGTACACAGCATGGGGACCCTGGACTTACAAAACCACTTTTTCCTCCTAGGCCTCTGGGCTTGTGATGGAAGGGGCTGCCATGAAGGTCTCTGACATGGCCTGGAGATATTTTCCCCATGGTCTTGGGGATTAACATTAGGCTTCTTGTTACTTATGCAAATTTCTGCATCCAGCTTGAATTTCTCCCTAGAAAATGGGTTTTTCTTTTCTATTGCATAGTCAGGCTGAAAATTTTTCAAACTTTTATGCTCTGCTTTCCTTATAAAACTGAATACCTTTAACAACCCCCTCTCCCTGGCATGCATCTCTCTCAAGGCCCATCCCAGATGCTCTTCTTAGTTCTGCTTATCTCAGAATTATTAAACAATGCATATGCTCTGTTATTTCTTGCATTTTCAATTTCAGATATAATCTGATTTCCTATTGTGGAGGAAAGTACTTTCTCTTATTTATCACCAGGCCCATGAAAAGTTCCCCTCTTCCCATCCTCAGAAGGCAAGGGCAGTAAAATATCAATATTTGGTTAAATCAGTGTTCAGAATGTATATTATAATAAAGTAAGTATTGTTCATAGCCAAGTCTGAATAGTGGAACCAGATTAAATTTCCTTATTTGTACATGTTTTGTTTTTGTTTATGTTTTCCCCCTCTTGGAGTTAAAAATTGCTCCTCCCCAAACTCTGACTCATTCATCCCCATGCTCCACTCAAGAGGTTCAAATACAACAATCTATTAGCTTCATTTATTTTTTGGAAACATCTCTCTTAGAACTCTCATATTTGTGGACCGGTCTCTATTGACTGCTCCCTCAGCTTGGTACACAAGTTTCCTGGGATCTCCCTTCACTCTTGTCTTTGAATTTTCATTCATCTCTCTCTGATGTTGGATCCATTACTTCCTGGATGCCTTGTCTTTTTCTTTCTAGATTTATGCCCTTGTTTTGGTGGAGCACATCCTCCAGTAACTTTCTGAAAATGGGTGCAAGGAAGATATATTTCTGAGCCATAGCATGACTTAAAATGCCTTTATTCTGCTCTTCTATTTGATTGATAGCTTAGTTGCATATAATCTGGGTGGAATTGTTTCCCCTTAGAATATTTTGGGGAAGATGTGGAACATTTCCAGAATCCTAAATGATCCCTTGTGCTGTCTCTCTGTTAACCCCTTCTCCCTAAGTATTAGTTGCTGTTCTACCTTCTCTCATCATTGGTTAGCTTTGCCTGTTCTATGGAGCTCTTTTGTTTTATGGTTCCTTTTGTTCAGCACAGTATCTGTGAGAAGCACCTTGTTGCTACATGCATCAGTACATCACTCTTTTTTTGCTGCCCCATTGCATTAAATTCTACAATGTGTTATTTGTCCATTCTCTTTCACAGTGTTAGAGATTTGGATTATTTCCAGATTTTGGCTGCTATTAATAGTGCTGCTAGAAAAATTCTTGTAAACTTCTTCATTGATACTTTTACTAATTTCTCTTCATTGTGCTCCCAAAAGTGGAATTGCTCAGTCATAGATAGGCATGTGTTGGTTTAGCATATACCAACAACTTTCTAAAGAAATTTACATCCCCACTAGTTGATTTTATAATTCCATTTATTCTGTATCTTTACAAAATGAGGTTTATCAGTCTTTTAAAATTGGTTTATTTTGGAAAGTGTGTAGGAATATTGCACTGTTGCACTAATGTGCATATCCCTGATGAGTAAAGCTGCTCATTGAACCTTGGATATCTTTTCTTGTGAAGTGCCTGTTCAAGGCATTTGCTTGCTTTTTAAAATATGGCTACTTGTGTTTCTTATTGATTTGCAGAAATTTATTACATATTCTGAATATGAGTGATTGTATATTTGCGATGTGTCAGTGAATGTTCAATAACTGGCTTTTGTTTTTGTAACAAAAATCAAAACAGAAGTCCTGATTGACTGCATTTGCCAACATCCACATGTGAATACTCCCAACCCAGCTAAATCCAGGCTACCAAGACAATGTCACTTAACACAGAAATGGGAAGAGAGGGGTGCACATCAGCTCTCATGAGCCAGGGCATGCTGACTTTAGTGCACCACTGGATATGGGAATTGCAGATAACTCATCCAAGTCTGGGGTTTAAAAATAAAGTTTTTAAAAAGTCAGTTTTATTGAAGTATGATTCCATACTGTAAAATGTACCTATTTAAAGTTATCATTTGATAAGGTTTGAGAAAATATACACTCATGTAACCACTACCACAAGCAAAATCTGGATTTTCTATCATCTCCAAGTCTCCAGGTGTACTTTTCATGATCAATCCCCACCCCTCCTGACTCTGCCCCAGCAAACAACTGATCTCCTCTGTATCTCAAATAGGTTTGTCTTCCCTGGAATTTCATATAAATCAAATTCGATAGTACAATTGACCCATGTGTCGATGGACACACGGCTTGTGTGGCAAAAGCTTCTTTAAACATTTGTGAGCAAGTCTTTGTGATATGATTTCACTTTTCATGGGTAAACACACAGGAGGTGGAGTGTGTGGGGCATGTGAAGGGAGTGTGTGTCATGTTAATGACACCACCAAACTGTTTTTCAGAGGGATTATTCCATTTCACATTCCCACCCCAGCAAATGTAGGAGAGTTCCATTTCCTGCACACATTTGCTGACACTTGGTGTTGGTCGTCTATTTCAATTTGAGTCATGGTTATGGATGTGTTGTGGTATTAATAGTATCATTTGATAAAGAGACGCTCTTAATTGTGGTAAAATCTGATTTACTAATTTACTCTCTTATGTGTAGCATTTTTACCTCCTGTTCCCAAAGTCTTTGCCTACCACAACATCATGAAGACATTCCCCTATATGTGCTTCTACAGCTTCATTATTTTTATTTCATTTATTGTTTATTTACTAATTTTTACATTGACAAATAATAATTGTGTGTATTTACTGGGTATAATGTGACGTTTTGATCTATAATGTGATGTTTTGATCTATAATGTGATGTTTTGATCGATGCATTGTAGAAAGATGAAATCAAGCCCTGTAATACCAGCACTTTGGGAGGCCAAGGCAGGTGGATGATGAGGTCAGAGTGGGATTGGTGGGAACTTTGGTTGTGTGCTTGTGCTTTTGTGTGCATTTTACTGCATTCAAGATTGTCAGCATTTTCTCTAATGATTTGTGTCTTTTGCATTTTTTATGAGATATTGGTTCTTTCACCAAGGATGGCAGTAGGCATTGTTGACCAGGGGCAAGTAGTGAATGTCCAGGTGACAAAGGGCAGTTGCAGCCACCGTCAGCTTCTGTGGTGCAGCCAAGAATGGCCCCTTGGAGGAGGCCGCCTCTCTCTGCCCAGCCCCCGTGTGCACCCTTCCTCTGCGCGAGGTTCTGAAGTTCCACCTGTTGCCCTTGGAAAGGAACTTGATGTTTCTCCCCCACAGCCCACCTCCCTTGAAGTTCACACCCGGGGCGTGGGGGTGTGTTTGCACAGAAGCTCACATGCCTGGATGCTTGCTGGGGCCATGCCCTGGGGGAAGAGCCAAGTCTGGGATGCGCAGAGGAGGACATGCTTCTCTGAGCAAGGCCCATCCGTCTTGCCGTCTGTGGGATTCAGGGGCCTGTAGTTGGGGGGCTCACCACATGGTCCTCTTGGTGCCTCCTGGACAGCCAGAGGGAAGCCAGTGAGGCAAAGCCTGGCTGCCGACTTAGGGTGCAGCCCTCATGCCAGGTGGGGTATGTGGGGGCTTATTCCTTGCTGGTGCTCCAGCCCCATGCCAGAGTTTCAGGTCACAGCCTCTATGGCCACCACAGGGGAGGGACGGCTTGTTGCAGGCGCAGGACGGCTCTGCTCCTCGTGAAACCCACGATGGCCTGGCCTCACCCAGCCTCCTCCTCTGTCTCCACCCCGTCTGGAGCAGGAGTCAAAGGAAGCACCACCAGAAATGTGCCCAGCACAGCATTGTCATCGCTTGGGAAGGGCACCCTGGGGCCCCAAGGCCACTCAGGGTGGCGATTCTCCAGGAGGACACAGGCCACAGAGGTCGTGGTACTCACGGCTGTGAGTTCCCACAGGAGAGGACACTGGGAAAGATCAGCCAAGAGAAAGATGCCTGGGAACAAGTCCAGGGGCACCAAGCTCAGCTTTGGAGGCCTCTCCTGGGTCAGGGGTCACGCAGGACGTGCCTCACTCCCCTTACAAGCAGCTGGGATGCCATGCGTGCAATGTCGGGGATGCCCTGCCTGGTAGTGTACCCAGGGATTGGCTGCGTGAGCAGCTTCTGCCTGGGCTGCGCCAGAATTCCAGAGACTCCCAGTGGGGACGGGAGTGTTCTGCCTAAACCACGTGGTACAAACAGCTCAGGCCTAGTGAGGCGGGGCGGGGTAAGCCCCTCGGAAATCCCAGTTGCCATATTCCAGCCAAGGGCCAGACCGGCCAGCAGGCCTCAGGACAGCCGTCCCTGCCCACTGTGTGGACCTTTTCTGCACACACGGCCATAGGGTTTCCTTTCTGGAGCCAGGGGCTGGACACAACCCAGTTTCCGGGGAGCCCCCAGGGCAGCTCCACCCAGGGCAGGCGCTGCTGTTGGATCACTCACCTCTCCCATCCCTCAGGCCTGCCTACCCCTCGGACATCCCTGTGGTGAGGGTGGGGCGGGGCTGCCAGGACACCTGGGAAGGACAGGGACCTCGTGGCGTGGGAGCAGCCCAGGACCACCCGTGGGTAGGGGTCTTTGGTTGTGAACAACAAGAATGAATTCCAGTTGTACTTTTTAGGAAAGGAATTTATTAGAAGGGTCTGACCTGTTCCCATGGTCAGGGAAGACAGAGACAGAGGCCCAGGCCGACAGCAGGGGAGGAGCAGAGCTCGCCACTGGGCCAGGGCAGTGACGAGAAACCCACACCTGATATGTGTCTACCCTCGTTTCTCCCCACACCGGGTCATGGCCTGGGAGGACCCATTGACTTTGCTGGGTCACTGCTCACCTGTTGCTGGGGAGGCAGGGCTGGGTAATTGGGGGAAAGTCAAGACTTGGAGAAACAGCTGAGCTGCTGCTAGGAGGAGAAGTGCACACTGGGTGGCCAGCTGGCCACTGACGCCCACTGCAAGGCTCAGGAGCGGGATGTGGAGAGCCGTCAAGGGTAAAGAACCCAGGGGTGCAGGGGCAGTGAGCACTCAGGCTTTGGATGATCTTAAGGAGATCACTCAGCAGCTGGACTTCTGGGTTGAGATGGGCCCGCAGCAGGCCGGGCGGGAGCATGCAGGGCGGCAAAGGAGGGACACACAGGAGGCCGGGCGGCAGCAGCTGGACTGGCAGGAGGAGGTGGGGGCACAGCAGGAGGAGACAGGCACGCAGCAGGTGGGCCTGCACACGGGGCGGCAGAGGAGAGATACGGAGGAGGAGGGTCTGCAGCAGGAGGTGGTACAGCAAGCTGGCTGGCAGCTAGACTGCTGGCAGCACAGAGAGGAAGCCCCAGAGCAGACGGGCACACAGCAGACAGGCTTGCAGCAGATGGGCATGCAGCAGGCTTGCTGGCAGGAGGAGGAGGTGCAGCAAGCCGGCTGGCAGCTAGACTGCTGGCAGCATGAAGAGGAATCCTCAGAGCAGGTGGGCACACAGCACACAGGCTTGCAGCAGACGGGTATGCAGCAGGCCTGCTGGCAGGGGGAGGAAGTGCAGCAAGCCGGCTGGCAGCTAGACTGCTGGCAGCATGAAGAAGAAACCCCACTGTAGATGGGCACACAGCACACAGGCTTGCAGCACACAGGCTTGCAGCAGACGGGCACACAGCAGGCCTGCTGACACGGGGAGGAGGTGCAGCAAGCTGGCTGGCAGCTAGACTGCTGGCAGCATGAAGAGGAATCCTCAGAGCAGGTGGGCACACAGCACACAGGCTTGCAGCAGACAGGCACACAGCAGGCCTGCTGGCAGGGGGAGGAGGTGCAGCAGGTTGCCTGGCAGCTAGACTGTTGGCAGCATGAAGAAGAATCCTCAGAGCAGGTGGGCACACAGCACACAGGCTTGCAGCAGACGGGCACACAGCAGGCCTGCTGGCAGGGGGAGGAGGTGCAGCAAGCCGGCTGGCAGCTGGACTGCTGGCAGCATGAGGACGTGCAGGAGCTGGTGCAGCCTGATTGGCAGGGACTGGGCTCACAGGCCGCCTGGCAGCAGGGGCTGGACACACAGCTCACTGGGGTGCAGACCAGGGTCAGGCAGGGGGCCGGGGCACAGCAGCTGGGGGCGCAGCAGGGGGGCTCACAGCAGCTCTCTGGGCAGTCGTCCACCTGCCAGGAGTCAGAGCAAGAGTCACAGGAACCAGGAAGGCAGACGCGGCTGCCATAGCTCATGTTGCTGGAGCAGACGGACATGGTGGACGCGGCCATGCTGGGGGTTGAGCTGGAGGAGACGGGAGTGAGTGGGTGAGTGAGTGGGTGAGTGAGTGGGTGAGTGGGTGAGTGAGTGGGTGAGTGAGTGGGTGGGTGAGTGGGTGGGTGAGTGGGTGAGTGGGTGAGTGAGTGCGTGTGTTAGGTGCTCAGGGATGTTGGCTTTTATATCTGTCCCTGGCCTGTTGTCCCAGCTGGAGTGTCAACAACTCCCGCCCCTTCCTTGTTTGTGTTTAAAACCTAGAGAACTCTTATTAGTGTGAGTTTCGTGTTTAGTCCTATGAGATGCCGTTCAGTTTGTAAAGTCCTGAGTCTATATTTGGGTCTGTTGACACACCATCAACAGATCTTTGGCTCCAGAGCATAATATTGAAGCAGACAGGGTAGAATGTCTGGAAATAGAGTGTCACGAGGGCCTGTGCTGGCTGCAGGAGAGATCCATCCATCCTAATCCCAGTGTCTGTGGGCCATCGCCAGGGGACTCTGCTTGTCTGGGTGGCTGTGGCTTCTGGAATGTCAGTCTAGAGAAGCCCCAGTCAGTGATGGCATGAGGGTGGAACGTTCCTAGAAGTGACTCCCCATACTCTCTCTGTTGTATGAAGTCCCCCCTCAAGGGCTTTAGAGCAAGTGGCAAATGGGAAAGGGTGGCCAGTGGTGTGAGCCATTTGCCGTCAGGTTCACAGTAGTTCCTAGGGGGCTGTGCACCCCCTCTTCCATACGGGCACTTAGGGAGGCCCCAGATCCCCGTATGGGGCCTCCCATCTCCATTTGCTTTTATCCTGAACACTGCGACCCTGTGAGTCTAACCCAGAACACCTAATGCATCTCCTCCGCAGAAAGCACAGCCACTCATGACAGCACTGCTGTGTGAGAAGCAGAGAGCACTGCTTTTGCTTCCAGTGTATTTTCTTGATTGCTCACTAAGTCCTTGGTCACCCCAGCTAGACATCTGATCTAAGTCTCCATTTCTTCTGCAAATAATATCCAATTGGCCATCACGTCTTTTTGGTTCTTTCTGCTAAATGTTTCCGATTTTATCTGATACTTTTACTTCTCAAGCATTCATTTATTCACGATGCAGTGAGTCCTCCCATGTGCTGGAGATTGCACCAGGTGCTGAGAATGTGAAGGTGAAGGGGTAGTAGCCCTGATGATGGGCCCCACCAGGGAGGGAAGTGGGCTGCTTGGTGGCTGGTGATGTCAGTGATGACTGGGCAGAGCCCAGCATGCTTGGGGCCCAGAGGAGTGGCCCCTTTCCAGGTGAGAGGGCTCCAGGGGCGCTTCTGGTGGGGTTCGATGCCCAGGGAAGTCTCAGAGGCTCAGGGCGTTCTGTGTCTCTATCTGTGTTTCCCAGTCCAGGCCTCTTAACTCCTAGGGGATTTAAGAAAAGTACAAAAGGAAGTCAGCTACATGGTGGAATGAATTGTCTTTCTGTATATTTTGAACTATAAAAATAATATAAATTTGAGCATGGCCTGGTTCCTCTAGAGGTACAGGATCTGGTCCTATAGGATGGAAGTACATTGAGAGAGAGAGAGAGAGAGAGAGAGAGAGAGAGAGAGAGAGAGAATGGGGGCCTCTGCTTCCATCTGGGACAAAGTAGTTGTGTCAGACATATACTCCTACTGAGAACAACCTGAAAAGCTGAACAAAATGTTTTAAAAATGATTCCTTGAAAGCTCTCATAAAAGAGCTGTTGAAGAAACTAAAGGTAATAGAATGACATCTTTAAAGGGCTGAAAGAAAATCACTGCAAACCTAGAATTCTAGACCAGGAAGAACATTGTTCAAAGGTGAGAGTGAAACAAAACGTTTCTGGATAACAACTGAGCCAACTGAACATGAGCGGACCCACATTACAGTAACTGTGAACGGGAATTTTTCAGGCAGGAGGACTGAAAGATAAAAATGCAGGAAGGAACCAGGAGGATCTGAAAGGGTAATATTATTATATTTATAATGTCTTGTGGGGTCTAAACTAGAAGCAGAGAAGTAATGCATGATGACATTAATAATAAAAGGTGAGAAGGATAAATGGAGTGAAAGTTTTCTAAGATTTCAGGATTGCTTTGGAAGTGGTAGAAATGCTGATGTATGAATGCTGACACTTGAATAATCTGAGAATGTGTGCTATAATCTCTAAAGTGACCCCTGAAGAGATAGCAAAAACTATGTATAAACAATAATGTTAGAAGTAAGGCTCAGAGTTGTAAGGAAAAATGGACACTTAGACAAAGGATTTCTCAGCAAAGCAAATTTACTTCTGGGCAGAAGGGGTGTTTCCCATATGGCTGGTTGCCACGAGAGCACACAGAACAAAAGACACTAGAAGTTTTTATTCCTAACAAGTCTCCTGCCCTGTGTCCTTTCCCCATTGGCTGGGGTCGGACTGCACAATTTAAACTAGACCCGATTGGCTAAACATTTAAACTTTCTTAGATAAGGTGGAGGCGTAATGGGAGACATGGGAGAGGAGGAAGGGGTCATCTACAGCAAACTGGAGAGCCAGTCTTTTCCTAAACACGGAATGGAATGTGAGCTGGTGCTGATAACACCACTGATGCTGTGGCATGCCTGGGCATGTAGTAAAGTCAGAAAGTAGAAAAGGAGAAGAAAGAGAGGGGGCGGGGTACTAGGAATTAAAGAATAAAAGGTTGAGCACACTGTTTGAAGAGAAGCCTTGCTGTATCTTATGAATAATGAATAGAACAGAAGAAGGAAAATAAATAATAAAAAATACCTGATTAATCCAAAATAGAGAGGAAGTGATTTTTAAAAGAATCATTAAAATTTGGGACAAATAGAAATTGTACAATCAGATGGTAGATAGGTATAAGCTAAATATCAGTCAATAAGTTAAAGTATCAGATATTCCAATTAAAATATATTGTTGATCTGAATAAAAAATAGAAAACCTAACTACATGCTGCTTACAAGATACAGAACCTGAATACAAGAGTACAGAGACCAGGTGCCGTGGCTCCTGCCTGTAATCCCAGCACTGTGAGAGCCTAGGGCAGTCGGATCACCTGAGGTCAGGAGTTTGAGACTAGCCTGGCCAACATGGTATAAAGCCCCATCTCTACTAAAAATACAAAATTAGCTGGGCATGGTGGTGGGCACCAGTAATCTCAGCTACTTGGGAGGCTGAGGCAGGAGAATCACTTGAACCCATGAGGTGGAAGTTGCAGTGAGCTGAGATCGCACCACTGCCCTCCAGCCTGGGCGACAAGAGTGATACTCCATCAAAAAAAAAAAAAAAGAGAAAAAAAGAAAAAGATCACAGAAAGCTTGAAAGTAACAAAATGGAAGAAAATACACCATGCAAACACTAACTAAAATGCTGGTGTGACTTATGAATATCAGAAAAAGTAAATTTTAGAGCAATAGAGATGAAGAAAGAAATGTATAAAGCTAAAAGAGTCAACCTACCAGGAAGATGTAACAATTCTAAATTTGGATGTATCTAATTACATAGCTTAAAACATAAAATTAAAAAATTAAAATAAAAAACTGACTGTTTTTTAATTTTTTAACTGACAGAGCTAAAAGTAGAAATAGAGAAAAGGGAAAATCATAGTGGGGGATGTTAATACACCTGTCGATAATGGTAGGAAAGGAAAGAAAAATCATCTCAGAGTAGAAAGGGCTCTTCTAAGTTTTGAGTAAAACACTGAAGCCATTTAAAAAAACTGATAAAACTAATTACATAAAAATTTTTAAATTGAAGGAGAGAAAACATCATAAACCAAGTCGAAAGACAAACAACAATATGGGAAACACATTTCCTATTCATATATCAGAGAAAGGGCTAATTTACTTAATATCTAAAGAGCTCCCACAAGTTAAGATCAATAACAGCAACATAACAGAAAATGAGCAAAGGATACAGGGGGACAATTGAAAGAAATATACATGGTTCTTAAATGTGAAAACATGCTCAGCCCCATTTAAAAGGAGATAAAACAAATTTCATGGCCATATATCATTTTTTATATTGGAAAAAATGGAAACCATTGATGTTCCCACTATGGGTTGGTGAGGGTGTGGGCAGACTACCCAGATGACTTGCTGCTGGGCTGAGGCTGGTTCCACAGCTTTGGCTGGCAGTTTGCTGCTATGCATCAAAATTCAAAACCTCACGCCTTTGAGCTGGAATCACTAGGCTGACATCCTATAGATACTCCTGGGTGGATACACGGTATGTGCAAAGGTATCACAGCCATGAGATTGTCCAGACAGCGGGAGACAGACTCTAGGGTGGCCCCACGTCCCTCACCTCCTGGTGGTCGTTGGCTGTGTGCCCCACACCCCTTGAGTGTGGGTGGGCCTGTGACATGTGTATAGACACAAGGAGCACAGAGACGGTGATGGGACGTGCATGATCCCATTACGTAAGGTCGTAATGCTCATCTTGGGAGGAATCTGTCTCCCTGGCTGGCTGTGAAGAACCCAGCACATTGTGAGCTGCCCATTGAGGCCACATGGAAAGAGATGGTGGCAGCCTCCGGTTGACAGCTGGTAAGAAACTGAGGCACTTAGTCCAAGAAGCTGCACGTAACTGAGTTCTGCCAACAATCACATGAGCTTGGAAGTGGATCCTTCTCCAATTGAACCTTCAGATGAGACACTCTGATACGACCCTACAGAGACCCCTTAACTGTGCCTGGACTCCTGACCCACAGAAACTGAGATGATAAATGTGTGTTATTTGAACCCACTAAGCTTGTGGTACTTCGTTTAGGCAATGGAAAATGAACACACAGACCAACATGGAATTCTGTGCAGCTGTAAACGAGAGAGATCATGATGTATTCATGGGAAGGGAGCTCCATGTTTACAAAAACATAGTAGGTAGAGTGTGACATAATTTGTATTTTAAAAATTTATGTATACAGAGGCATTATATGTACGTCTGTGTATGTACACATATGTTGACAATATACATAACAGAACGAGGTGATGTTTTGCTCTCCTGTCTCAGCTCGCATGTGGTAAACAGGTGTCCTTGTTACGTTCTCCTCAGTGCCGCGTGTTCCTCCCTGATGCTGCGATCTTGTTGTTTAAAGTGTCCCAATACAGTGCTGCTGTGCTGCTCGGTGTCCGGAGCTCAGAAGGCTCCAGCACGTCTTACAGAGAAAACACATGTGTTCAACCAACTTCATTCAGGCTCCCTAGGGCTGTTGGCTGTGAGTTCAGTGTTGATAAATCAACTATATAGATTCAATAAGGTGTCTTTAGACAGAAGCACTCTTAAGACATGTCTATGCATTGATTGGTTGATGAGAATGTTGTGATCAGAGGCTCATGAGACCATAACCCTGTGCTTCTTGTAGGAGCACTGGTTCAGTATTTGGTTATTTGGTGCTGGTGGAGACTTTATAGGACAGAACCTCTGGGAATAATGAGAATGAGTTGTGTGTGTGCATACATGGAAGAGGCAGACAGACAGAGACAGAGAGAGACAGAGAGAAAGAGAATAAATGGGTGAAAGTAGCTGCTTCCTGAGAGGAGAATTGAGTGACTGCTTGTGTTCACTTAAAAAAATCACAATCTGGCCAGGTGCAATGGCTCAGGCCTGTAATCCTAGCATGTTTGGGAGGCCAAGGGTGGTGGATCACTTGAGGTCAGGAGTTTGAGACCAGCCTGGTTTCACCAACATGGTGAAACCCTGTCTCTACTAAAAATACAAAAATTAGCCAGGCATGGTGGCTTATGCCTGTAATCCAAGCTACTCAGGAGACTGAGGCGGGAGAATTGCTGGAACCGGGTGGTGGAGGCTGCAGTGAGCTGAGATCGTACCACTGCACTCCAGCCTGGGTAACAGATTGAGACTCCATCTCAAAAAAAAAAAAAAAAAAAAAAAATTCACAGATCTGTAAGTTTGGAAAAAAAAGAGGAGACTGTTTCTTCTAAAGGGGCACAGCCTGCAAGAAGGCCATCCTGCAGGCTGGGAAGCACAGCTCTGGCCAAGACCAGGGCCAGGAGGAGGCACTTCAGAGCGGGAGGGGCTGGGGCAGGAGCTCCACGCTGACCAGGTTGGCTAAATACACGTGTGCAATAGGTCATGGAGGAATAGTGAATATTCATGAAGGAGGAACCGAACAAATATGCATGTAACATACAACCTGTTTTCACTCTGGGGTTGTGAGAAACACACTCACCCGTCCAAATCCAAAGAATGGAAGTAGAGGCGTGAGGAACAGTGAAAGTGAGACTCTAATGGTGGTCTTGCAAGACCAGGTGTCTGATGGGCAGGCACATCCAGCACAGTTTCAACAAGCAATTTATCCCCTAGTGTGCAGGTCCCTCCCCCGTTCCTCGCAGTCCTGTGGGGTCGCAGTCTTCCCGGACGTCACCTAGGTTTCATTATCCCCTTATAAGGTTACAGCTTGTCCCCTTCCCCACTTTACATTTTGATTTCTCAGTGGCAAAAGTTTCTTTCCTTTTATGGGTTAACCGTCCCCCACTTTTTCTTCCTCCCCTCTGACTTCTGTGAGTCTTATCACTCTTCCCAGATGTCTGTACCGTGTGGCTTGTCACATCTGCAAGGGAGCTGCCTGGACTTACCAGGGCCTGTTTTCTGAATATGGACCACTTAAAATGTACTTCTTGGCTGGGCGCGGTGGCTCACGCCTGTAATCCCAGTGCTTTAGGAGGCTGAGGCAGGTGGATCACAAGATCAGGAGATCGAGACCATCCTGGCTAACATGGTGAAACCCCATCTCTACTAAAAATACAAAAAATTAGCCAGGCGTGGTGGCAGGCGCCTGTAGTCCCAGCTACTTGGGAGGCTGAGGGAGGAGAAGGGTGTAAACCCGGGAGGTGGAGCTTGCAGTGAGCCGAGATTGCGCCACTGCACTCCAGCCTGGGCAACAGAGCCAGACTCCGTCTCAAAAAAAAAAAAAAAAAAAAAAAAAGGACTTCCTACAGGGTGGAATCTTAACATGTGAATGTGTCTCAGTGAGGCTCTAAACCTCAGAGGTCTTCTCAGGACACAAAGGCACTCAAGATGAAGCCTCTGTAAATCAGCTGGAGCTGGTCCATGGTCCGGGTCCGTTATCAGGAGGAAGTTCCTGAAGTCAGTCTCCTGCCCAATCAGAGCTGTGGTCACGGCCGTGGAACGTGGTCGGTTGGCGTCTGCGGGTGGATGGGCCACGGTCGTTCGAATCTTGCTCATCCTTATGGCGGGGCCAGTGCGTGTTTAGCCGCTGGAGAAAAGGCAGCAGCTGTGGTGTGAGAGCAGAGTCCATCCTCTCAGTGTAGGGTACTCAGCTGGACCCTTGCCTGGCGTGGCCTGAGGTCCTGTTTGTAATTTGATGTCTTGTTGTCACAGAGTCTGTTCTGTGGGTCTTACTGTCTCTATTTTAACTTTAATGCGGGGCAGTGTTGGTGTCTAAACCCTAAAGGGAGGGGGTGTAACGCGGCGTGTCTGACCTGCCTTCCTGTCATGGCCAGGAACGCAGTGTTTCAGGGGTCCCCGTGGCCAAGATGGGGTCCATTAATTTAGTTGAGGGGCTTCGGATTTTATGTTTGGTTTACACTGGCAATGGGGTTGCAGTGAGATCAATGTCCCTTGGACCCATTTTGTGTCTTCCGTGCGGGTTCTTTGGACAGATGTCCCTTAATTTTAAGGTGGTGACACTAAGAGGCCTGGCACAGGGCTTGGAAGACAGGGCTGGGAAATGGGCCCCGCAGGAGGCTGGGTGGGGACTGACGGGCTGCCTCGGAGAAGCAGAGCACACAGAGGAGCCACCCCAGGCGGGGACAAGGGCTGCTGACCGCTCCCGCTCAGCACGGTTACACTGCAGGTTCAGAACCCAAAACCACAGCCCAGGAGGATGTCATGTTGTCCAAGCAGGGAGGGGCCGAGCCCACCGTCCTTGCCCTGGAACACACAGGTCCTGCTGCCTCCGAAACACAAGGACGAGGTGGGCACGAAACAGGGCAGGAGGTGCAGAGGCTGTGGGGATGAGAAGTCGTCCAGAGCTCAGAGGCAAGAGGTCTGGGCACAGGTACAGCTGCCCCCGCATGGCCCCGGGCAAGTCAATGAAGGCTGCTGGGAACCAGGTTGTCCCTCAGAAGATGGCCACAGTCCTGTGTCCCATGATGGGGGAAGGACCACGCTGGATGAGGAGTTTCCACCACAAGAACACTTCCTAAGGCCGGCTGCCCGCGGAGGGACTCTGTGTCCTGGGGCTGCTGGGGCCAGGACTGGACAATGCCCCTGCCTGCGGCTTTCCCAGCTGCCAGAACCCAGCTGGGACCAGGCCCACCCCAGCTCCTGCCCCCAGGGATCCACGTGGGATGGGACACATCCCAGATGTGACGGGAGATTTATGAGCTGGGCCACATCATAGGCAAACAAACACCCCTAATCCTGGCAGACTCCAGCTCTCAGCAACACGGAAGGGGAAGCTGTGGGCCCGGCGACAACAAGGCGGGGGGGAATAAAAGCCCGAGAACCCCAGCACCTCACAGGCTCACTCCCTCATCCACTCCCTCCCTCACCCTCCGCCAATTCAACCCCAGCATGGCCGCGTCCACCGTGTCCCTCTGCTCCAGCAACATGAGCTACGGCAGCCGCGTCTGCCTTCCTGGTCCCTGTGACTCTTGCTCCGACTCCTGGCAGGTGGACGACTGCCCAGAGAGCTGCTGTGAGCCCCCCTGCTGCACCCCGAGCTGCTGCACCCTCGCCCCCTGCCTGACCCTGGTCTGTACCCCAGTGAGCTGTGTGTCCAGCCCCTGCTGCCAGGCAGCCTGTGAGCCCAGCCCCTGCCAATCAGGCTGCACCAGCTCCTGCACACCCTCGTGCTGCCAGCAGTCTAGCTGCCAGCCGGCTTGCTGCACCTCCTCCCCCTGCCAGCAGGCCTGCTGCGTGTGCCGTCACTACAAGCCTGTGTGCCTGTGCCCACCTGCTCTGAGATTCACTTCTTCCCATGCCAACAGTCTAGCTGCCAGCCAGCCTGCCCCTCCTCCCCACCGCCCAGCAGGCCTGCCTGTGTGCACCGTCTACTGCAAGCCTGTGTGCTGTGTGCCCACCTGTTCTGGGGATTCCTCTTCATGCCTGTAATCTAGCTGCCAGCCGGCCCATACCTCCTCCCCCTGCCAACCCAGGCCTGCTGTTGCTGCACCTCCTCCCCCTGCCAGCAGGCCTGCTGTGTGCCCGTCTGCTGCAAGCCTGTGTGCTGTGTGCCCACCTGTTCTGGGGATTCCTCTTCATGCTGCCAGCAATCTAGCTGCCAGCCGGCTTGCTGCACCTCCTCCCCCTGCCAGCAGTCCTGCTGCGTGCCCGTCTGCTGCAAGCCCGTCTGCTGCAAGCCTGTGTGCTGTGTGCCTACCTGTTCTGGGGATTCCTCTTCATGCTGCCAGCAGTCTAGCTGCCAGCCAGCCTGCTGCACCTCCTCCCCGTGCCAGCAGTCCTGCTGTGTGCCTGTCTGCTCCAAGCCTGTCTGCTGCAAGTCCCTCTGCTGTGTGCCTGTGTGCTCTGGGGCTTCCACTTCATGCTGCCAGCAGTCTAGCTGCCAGCCAGCTTGCTGCACCACCTCCTGCTGCAGACCCTCCTCCTCTGTGTCCCTCTTCTGCCGCCCCGTGTGCAGGTCCACCTGCTGCGTGCCCGTCTCCTCCTGCCAGGCCAGTTGCTGCCGCCCGGCCTCCTGCGTGTCCCTCCTCTGCCGCCCCGTGTGCTCCCGCCCGGCCTGCTACAGCCTCTGCTCTGGCCAGAAGTCCAGCTGCTGATGGCGCTGAATGTCATCCAGAGTCCCTTCCCACCTGGGGCTGACCTCCCAGCGGGCCCAGCTAGCTCCTCCCTCTCTGGCATTGACACCCTGAGAAGATGGGGCAGGCTCTTTGTCTCAGGGACCAGGATGCTCCCCCAGTCCTTCCCAGATGCTGGCTGCACAAGGGACCCCAGCTACTCCCCCAGACCCAAGTTCTGCAGAACTGACCCCAGCAGGCCTGGTTCCACCCTGAGCAGTGCCCCCTCTGAGTTCTAATAAAGCCGCCTCTGTCTCCCACCAACCTCTGTCCTGTCTGTGGACCCCTGGGGGGCACAGGGTGAGGTGGGAAGTGATGCCACCCCTGACTGCAGGGAGAGTCCTGACCCCCAGCAGGCCTGGTTCCACCCCTCTGTCTCTGTCGACCTTTGATCCTGTCTGTGGACCCCGGAGGGGCATGGGATGAGGCAGGAAGCAATGTGCCTGGTGCTGGCCTCTGTGAACCCTGAAGGCCAGGCTCCCTCTTAGCCCCATGGGCCCCCAACCCCAGCATGTGACGCCCCAGCCCATCTTAGGGAAGCTGCCTCTGGAACCAAGGCCAGGAGTTTTGGGACAAAGTGGACCCTGGCAGCAGCTCTGGGCCCCTGAGCCACATTCACCCTCCCCAGCTCCATGGCTGCCCCCCAGGACTGGGGTAGCCCACCCGGGGCCTGGCTCCACCCAGCAGCCTCACCGGTCCTGTTACCCCTGGGGAGACCAGCTATGGACCACAGTGCCCATCCCTGCAGCCCTCGTAGCCATGGACCACAGTGCCCATCCCCAGCCCTCGCCTCCTCCACAGTAAGACGTGACCACCCTCACCTAGGACTTATCAGCAGCCTGGGGTTCTTCATGGGGTTCTTGAATACCCATTGCTCAGGCATCACTGGCGAGCACAGATGGGCAGGCACCAGTGGCACCCACTAACCAAGCCTGTGGCCCCCTGCCCCATGCCTCACACTCTAGAGATTCAGGGTCCTGGCTCCCCTCCTGTCCCGGGGTGGTCCGAACCTGATCCTGAGGACCCTCTCCCCACACCCCCAGCCTCCCAGCCTCCTCCTAAATAGCTCCTTAGCCTGCCTGCACCTTCTGCTCTGGCAATTCTGATTGTGAACCAGATTGTCAGCTGGTGGCTGGTAATGCCACTTTTGCCTATTGCTCAAGATTGAGAGCCAAAAAGTCTGGCTACTGCCCCAGCAAATGACCTGATGTCAATGCCAGAGGCCTCCAGCTCCCAGCACCGACCTCCCGGAGTCCTCACCCGGGACAGAGTTCACTGTGCCTCAGCACAGCCACTTCCCCACTGCCTTGAGGCAGACCCCCAGGACAGACCCCCAGGACAGACTCCCAGGACAGACCGCCCAGGACAGACCCTCGAGGACAGACCAGGACAGACCCCCAGGACAGACCCCAGGACAGACCACTCCAGGACAGACCGCCCAGGACAGACCCCCAGGACAGACCGCCCCAGGACAGACCGCCCAGGACAGACCCCAGGACAGACCGGCCAGGACAGACCACTCCAGGACAGACCCCAGGACAGACCGGGCCAGACAGACCGCCCAGGACAGACTCCCCCAGGGACAGACCGCCCAGGACAGACCGCCCAGGACAGACCCCCCAGGACAGACCGCCCAGGACAGACCCCAGGACAGACCGCCTAGGACAGACCCCCAGGACAGACTCCCAGGACAGACCGCTCAGGACAGATCCGCCAGGACAGAATGCCCAGGACAGACCCCCAGGACAGACCGCCGAGGACAGACCGCCCAGGACAGACCCCCAGATGACCGCCCAGGACAGACTCCCCCAGGACAGACTCCCAGGACAGGACTGCCCAGGACAGACTCCCCAGGACAGACCGCCCAGGACAGACTCCCCCAGGACAGACTCCCAGGACAGACCGCCCAGGACAGACCGCCAGACAGACTCCCCCAGACAGAATCGCCCAGGACAGGACCGCCCAGACAGACTCCCAGGACAGACTCCCGTGACAGACCGCCCAGGACAGACCTCCCAGGACAGACCGCCCAGACAGACTCCCAGGACAGACCAGGACAGACCGCCAGGACAGACCCCAGGACAGACCCCAGGACAGAACCCCAGGACAGACCCCCCAGGACAGACCACCCAGGACAGCCAGCAGCAGCCATCCCAAGGCCAGAGGCCAAACTGACACAGCCTTGTCCACCTCCTTTAGAAGCAGCCAGGTCCTCATGAAGGGACAGATGAGGGCCTCCAGGACAGAGAGATGTTTGCTTCCTGCCCTGGTTCTCTGGGTAGCTGGTGGGGCCGAGCTTTCATCCTAGGGCCCTCCAGGGCCATCCTGGGGAGGTCCCACATGCATGTCTGAGTCCCACTACCTCACTGTGCCCACTGACGGCCACAGGGTCAGAACAGAGAGCCGGGAGGAGGGCCCGGGCTGGCTTCTCTGACCTCCTCCATGTTTGTCATTGTCCCCACTCTGCTCCTCGGGGTCCGAGGCACTGATAGGACCAGCCTGTCTGGCTATCCTCAGGAGGACACCGCCTGGTGTCCAGGTCTCACCTCTGACCCCTGCTCTGGGTCCTCATTCGATGTGTCTTCTGCTTCATCAGAGCTTCAACCCCCAGTGAAAGCACCTTTGGGAAACCATCTCAAAATGGTCACTCACAAAGATCCTGTGATCCTGCCACTCCAGTTCTAGGCATCTACCCCAGAGGAATGAAACAAATGTCCACACACAGGTCTGCATCCATGTACTACAGCACCGCTGACAGCAGCTAAAGACGGGTGTACCCATGTACACAGCATGACTAACAGTAGCCAAGAAGCGGAAAGAGCCTAAATGTCCATCAGAGGACAAAGCAAACCACAGCCCATCCACACAAGCAAAATCGTGGCCCATTCCCTTGGGGAATATTATTCAGCCATGGAAAGGAATCCAACACTGATACAGGCTACAACATGCATGCGAGCCTTGAAAGCATGATGCTCAGTGAGAGCCTACAAGGGTGAGACATTCTACCTGGCTTTTTTTATTTTATATTTTTATTTTAGCAGTTTATTTAAGCATAAACAGGTAGTTTGGTTACATGGATTAGTAATTTAGTGTATATATGAAGTATATTTGTGCACTCCATCATTCTAGCAGTATACACTGCACTTATTTGTAGTTTTTATCCTCACTCCCCTTCCCACTTTTCCCCTGAGTCCCCAAAGTCCATTGTGCTTGGCTCTTATGCTTTGTATCCTCAGAGCTTAGCTCCCACTTATGAGTAAGAACATATGATGTTTGGTTTTTCATTCCTGACATTTACCGAATAATAATCTCCAATCTCATCCAGATCTCTGTGAATGCCATTAATTCATTTCTTTTATTACTGAGTATTCCCATCATATATATATGTCTCGCTTCTTTATCCACTGTTGATTGATGTAAGAATTTAAGATCCACATTTTGCCATTGCGAATTGTGCTGCTGTAAAACGTGTGCAAGTATCTTTTTGTATATTACTTTCTTTCCTCTGCAGATACTCCAGTGGATTTGCTGGACTGCGCCGGTAGTTCACTTAGTTCTTTAAGGAATTTCCACACTGTTTTCCACAGTGGTTGTACTCTAAATTCCCACTAGAGTGTAGAAGTGTTCCCTGTCACCACATCCATGCCACTCATCTATTTTTGATTTTGATTATGGCCATTCTTGCATAGTAAGGTGTATCCTTATTTAGGTTTTGATTTCATTTCATCATTAGTGGTAGATGAGCTTTTTCACATAAGTGTTTGTTGGCCATTTGTATATCTTCTTTGAGAATTGTCCATTCATGCTTCCTTAGCTCTTACCTTTTTGATGGGATTGTTTGTTTTTTTTCTTGCTAATTTTGTTTGAGTTTTGTTGTAGGTTCTGGATATTAGTCCTTTGTCAGATGTGTAGATTGTGAAGATTTTCTCCCACTCTGTGGGTTATCTATTTGCTCTGATGACTGTTTCTTTAGCCATGCAAAAGTGCTTGGGTTTAATTAAGTCTCTGGTTTATCTTGTTTGTATTGCATTTGCTTTTGGTTCTTGGTCATGAAATCCTGCTTCAAGCCAATGTCTGAAGAGGTGTTTCAATGTTATCTTCTAGAATTTTATAGTTTGTAGTCTGATTTAAGTCCTGATCTATCTTGAGTTGATTTTTGTATAAGGTGAGAGATTTGAGGATCCAGTTTCATTCTCCTACATGTGGCTTCTACAATTATCCCAGCAACTGATTTGTTGAATAGACTGTCCTTTCCCACTCTATGTTTTTGTTTTGGTTTCAAAGATCAGTTGGCTGTACAAAAATGGGCTTATTTCGCCCTATTCTGTTCCATTGGTCTATGTGTCATTTTTATACCAATGCTGTTTTGGTGACTGTGGCTTTATAGTATAGTTTGGAAATCAGGTAATGTGATTCCTCCAGATTTGCCTTTTGGTTTAGTCTTGCTTTGGCTATGGGCCCTTTTGGTTCCATATGAATTACAGAATTTTTTTTTGTAATTCAGTGATGAATGATGGTGGTATTTTGATGGGAATTGCATTGAGTTGCTTTTGGCACTATGGTCATTTTCGCACATTGATTCTACCCATCCATGAGCATGGGATGTTTCTGTTTGTTTTCTATGATTTCTTTAGCAGTGCTTTGTAGTTTCTGTAGAGGTTCTTCTACCTCCTGGTTAGGTATATTCCTGAGTATTTTATTTTTTTGTAGCTATTAAGTTAAAGGGATTGGGTTCTTGATTTGATTCTGCGCTTAGGTGTGCTGTTGGTGTATAGGAGAGCTACTGATTTGTGTACATTAGTTTCTTGGTAGTATCTGGAAACTTTGCTGAATTTCTTTTATCAGTTCTAGGAGCTTTTTGAGGGAGTCTTTGGGGTTTTCTAGGTGTACAATCATATCATCAGCAAACAGTGACAGTTTGACTTCTCTGAACTGATCTGATGCCTTTATTTCTTTCTCTTGTCTGATTGCTCTGGCTAGACTTCCAGTACTATGTTGAAGAGAAGAGGAGAGGCATCCCTATCTTTTCCAGTTCTCAGAGGGAGTGCTTTCAACTTCTCCCCACTCAGTGTTATGTTGGCTGTGGGTTTGTCATAGATGGCTTTTATTACATTGAAGTATATCCTTTGATGTTGATTTTGCTGAGGAGCTTAACTACAGAGATGCTGAATTTGTC